AGGCGCCATTGCTAATGGGTTGGAGGCCATCGCCAGGTTGGAGGCCATCGCTATTAGGTTGGAGGCCATCTCTATTAGGTTGGAGGCCATCACTAGTAGGTCGGAGGCCATCGCTAGTAGGTTGGAGGCAATCGCTAGTAGGTTGGAGGCCATCGCTAGTATGTTGGAGGCCATCGCTATTGGGTTGGAGGTCATTGCAAAAAGGTTGGAGGCCATTGCTAATAGATGCTAATAGGTTGGAGGCCATCGCTATTGGGTTGGAGGTCATCGCTAACAGGTCGGAGTGCAATGCTTCACAGCTGCCGGTTGAATCAGCAGAGCCCCTTCCCCAGCTGCAATCAGGCCATCGAAGTGAGGTCAATCCGCAGCTTTGTAGCATTGCACAAATGACTTGCACAATCACCTTGCTAATGCAAATGATGAGTTGCAATTAATATGACTTGCATTTTCTGCATCACCAAGTCACCCAAAATGGCCTCCGCCAGCAATGATTTACATACAGTCTACCTAGCCTACCGTGTCCCAACCAGAGTCAAGCAAGAGTGTTACACAAGAGCGCCCTACAAAAGGGCCGAGAGTGGCAAACAAGTGTGGAATACAGGAGTGTTACGGAAGAGGTCTGAGACATCAATTTGAAGATGCTTTGTGTTCGGTTCGTGTGTTCAACCTGGTGTGCGTCTCCACAATTTCCCTGTTGAGGCTGGCTGGACTGATAACACCAAGTGCCCCAAGTGTTGGGTCAGTCTCCCTTGGGTCAGATGAATTGAGTTTTTAAAGCTCCGTTCGTAGCGTCCTTGTTCCTAGTAGTATGGCCAGGAGCCCCTAGTAGCGTCCTTGCTTCGTTCGTAGCGATGCCCTTAGCTCCTAGTAGCGTCCTCCTAGGGGCCAAGGAACAGATTACCTAGGGGCCAAGGAACAGATTAGTTTGAGTCAACTTTGTGTCAATTAGTAGCGTTCTTTTGGCAAAGTTCTGAAGAAACATCCCTTGTCCTGCTCCTTTAAATGTTTTTTAAAATTTTTACTCCTTCTTGCCTTGCCTTTCTATTGTCTCCGTAGCATTCCGAATCTCAACCCGGGTTTCAAAATCCACAGCCCCAGACTCCAACACCTCCCAATGCAACTTTGTAAACTTACCAAAGGCCGCAGGTCAAAAGACAGTGTTGACGTTGGGAGTTGTTCTGATGGCCTTTTGACCTCACTTGGTATGGCAGAGCAATCTCGAGTCAGCCGGAATTAAATGGAGTTGGTGTAAAAGCATCCAGTAGCACTGTTCTCAAACTTTCCCAAGTCATCAAAGGTTCTGGCACACGCTACGACTCCATGAGCCTGAGCCACATTCAGAAGGCCCTTCAAGGCTAAGAATGTTTGACAATGGGCCATCGCTTCTAGGTTGGAGGCCATCGCTAGTAACTGTTACTAGGGTGGAAGCCATTGCTAGTAGGTTGGAAGCCATTACGAGTATATAGGTTGGAGGCCATGGCTATTAGGTTCCGTTGCGATCCGCGAGGCACAATTCGATGCAAAGCAACTCGCCTGCCCTGCCATGACGCGGCTTTTGACTACGTCGGCAGGGGTGGCACAAATTGACCTGATGTCATGCCCCCTCTCTGTGTGGCACGGTGTGCAAGAAAAGGGTGCCGACGTTATGTCATTCCCCAGTCATTGAGGAGCAAACGCCACAAATCCACTGCAGAATGCACTCAGAGTATGAACGGCTAATCCTGAGCACATCGGTCAGACCCCTGCAACACATGTTCCGCAATTTTCGTTGCTGGCCGTCGTCCAAACCACTGCGCTTGAGGATCAACTTCTTTGCCTGGTCGTAGGTTGACAACCTAGGCAACTCCAACTTCAGCCCGATTACTGAATGATACTTACGAGGAATATGTGATAATATGAAATTATATCATATGTGGAAAGGGCTAGGAATGGTTGGAAAATGTTGGAAAGGGTTCAGGTCAAGAACATCTTCAATTCAATCAAGCTCTTGACTCTCCGAGGTTCACCAATGCTGCGCGCTGCACGTTGACAACCACACCACGGTAGAGACCCTGGCAGTGCATTCCACACATTTTCGCAAGGTCTTCCAGAGCTGTGCTCTCGGCCTTCACACCTTCTTCTCGCAAGATTCGTTGCAGCAAGGAGACCTTTGAAGAGAAGAACATGCCACTCTGGAGGCCAATCCTTCGCTGCATCTGGCGCACCATCCCATCCCGGCCACCTTCATGTACAAGCATGACCTTGCCAAAGACACCAGGCATGAAGCAATTGGCTCCGCCGACATGGCAGTCACCCATCCTTCAAGCGGTCAGCAGGTGAAGCCACTGCCTGGCCGGTATCAAGTCAAACCACCATCAAGTCTTTAAACATACGTACCAACTGCACAAGAGAAAATCATTATAAAAAAAGGTCTAAAGAAAACATAGAAACCTTGGATAATTTGAGCATCAGTACTGCACTGCATGCCTGCGCAATGCCCCCACCCAGCAGGCCAGCCAAAGCACTGCTGGCTGAATTGGAGAAATGACCTGGGAGTCCGGGGGAGGGGAAGAACCTGACCGTTGACTCCGTTGACCCCCGGTTTTCCAACGTTAGTAGACGTCACTTGGCAATGCACGAGTCAAACGCTTGCGAAGATCCTGGGCAGCATCGAGCAGAACTGCCAGAAGGAGGCTAGGTAGGCAGGATAGAAGTGACATCACCGTAGACCCCAAACAGTTTGTGTTTTTCAATATCGGAACACTCTGCAACTAGAGCTTGCGACGTCCAGAGCTAGGAGACAAAGGATTGCAAGGCAGAGGCGGCCACAGCAGTCCAGAGCTGGGAGACAAATGTAGACACAGGGAGACAACTGTAAAGGATTGCAAGGGACATGCAGCCCAGAGCTGGGTGACAAATAAAGGATTGCAACGCAGAGGCGGATACAGCAGTCTAGAGCTGGGAGACAAATGCAAAGGCTTGCGAGGGCAC